GACTATATTCTGGCTAGATTAGACACAATTCCGTTTGTTCTGTACGAGGTTAACGGGACGTTCATTAAAAGGATAAGGGGGTCAAATCTATCAGCAATGTTTGATAGGATTTCAACTAAAAGGCCTCCATCACGGTTTCATAATGAGTTGAAGAAGGTTTTTGCAGTCAGTTGGTTCCACCGACCACCAGCGAAGCGATACATAGCTGATTCGACACCGTCATGTCTTCTTAGGTTCACGCACCCTGAGTTCTTGAAACCGCAACAGGTAATAGCCGCTTGAATGCATATTATACACCGTACTACAGCATCTATCAATTACCGCCAGAATACGATGTCGATGTAGCTTGAAAAGACAGAGGCCATTTACTTTAATTTTCCCATGTAATAGAACAGGTAACACTCTGATGTAGTTTGCGCCATCCCGCTGTAGTGCTTTAGCAAAACATCCTTTTTGTCGTATATCACATTTTACAGTGGTTTAAAAACCGCGAATTTTCTTCAAATTTTTTTATGGTGATCACAAAACAATTAGCAGAATGACATCCGAAAACACACAGAACGTGCAATGCCAATATAAGATCGTATACAATTCTAGGCGGCTGAATTGCTACGATCTATAATTATAGTATCCATTCAGTACAAACGAAGACTATTGTTCATCATACAATTAAATAGTCGGCCAAGTTAAAGTTGTTGTTGGCTGTGCACTGCCAAATATGTAAAATTCCGCGCAGCTGGATAATTTCTATTGTTTTTACCCGGTATGCGGTGAACAAAATGAAGACTGATTACGAAAATTTTTTTAAAGTGGTGCTGCTAACAAAGTTCAAGGAAATTAGGATGAACCGCCGAAGAATCTTCAGTTTGAATCAGACAACTAAAGTTGTCACCTAATATGCAAAATGAGAGGGGGGTCCGCGTGATTTATTTTATGGTCATATACTGGTACGCTTTCTAGTACACACATGCAATTCGAGCATAATTGAAACCAACAATTATAATGTTGCAAGGAAGCGCAGACCAATTTTTAGGAGGAATTTGCACGGATCCTCCATTTGAACCCAACAATCACCAAATTCAAATACTTGTCCTTAATTAAACAGAGTGGAAAATAGTTCTAATGCGAACAGAGTTTATTTCCTCCAAACAGATAACTGCTTATGACTCCGCGATGGTGATCCATGTTGCCAGCGAACACTTGTTTGGATGGCCATATCGAAAAAACTAGTACCGTGTAATCGGCTGTTCTTATCCGTTGCTTTCACCCTGGAGTTATTTTTTTTCCTTGCGAACTGCCAACTGTTATGATTATTACTCACAAGCGGAAGTGGTTGGGTGTTCACATATGATAATTCGGTCGTGCCTAATGTAAGGTCACTGGTGCAGTGATAAGCATAGTTGCCTCATGAACAGCGTGTCCGTGGTTCAAGTCCCCGCAGTGGCAATGATATGCACTACTGACGAGCTGTAATGAGAGCGAAACTCGAGTCTAGTGCTTGTTTTCGAAAGAGGCCGACTGGAAAGTCTATAGGAATGTGACAGCTGCGATCATTTGTAGCTCTGTGTCCGTTCTGCACCCATCAGAAAGCGTGAAAGCCGGCCAGTGAATAACTGTTTGAAATGCCGTTGTGATCACTGGTAACATGTGTATATCTTTCTAAGTGACCTAAGTAATGAGTATTTCGACAGCACTTACCCAGTCGTCACAACGGAAGAAGCAAACGGAGGGCAGCATATAACACCACGTTAAGTAGTTCCCAGGTATAGGGTGAAGGGCCGTTAATGTGTGGGATGTCATAAGACAACCATGCATAAATCACAGGATAGTTCTTAACACAAGACTGATCAGAAGTTGCGGGCGACTACTGGAAATGTATACATGTGCTGTACCAGACCAGTCAATGAAAAGCAATGATGAGACCAAATTGTGAAAAGTGGGAGCTTCGGTTGGATTCGAACCAGCCACAGAAACACCATGCTTCTACGCGGCGAGCGCTCTACCAGCTGAGCTACGAAGCCACGCCAGGGACTCGGAAATTTCACATATGGAGTCGGTTACAAACCTGTCCCACTGTCTCATATGGAACCCGCCACACAATTCAAGGGATCGACTGTCCCTGCAGGATTTATCAACCAGTTCACGTTGGAATCCATCAACGCCACTGTTGAGCACCGACTTTCCATTACTAATAAGTAGTTTGGCAGACTGATGGATTTCAGAAAGACCCAACTCTGAAAACTCAGGGTTTCGGCTGGATTCGAACCAGTAACAGATAAACCATGCCTCAATGTGGCAAGCGTTGGTGGATTTCAACGAGAAATTCTGCCGGGACAGTCGATCCCGTGGATCATTTGGTAGATTTTATATAAGACAATAGAACGGGTGGGTAACAAAGTCCAAATGTGAAATTTCGAAGTTCCTGGCATGGTTTTGTGGTTCAGCTGGTGGAGCGCTTGTCGCGTAGAGGCATGGTGTTTCTGTGGCTGGTTCGAATCCAACCGAAGCTCCCACTTTTCACAATTTGGTCTCATCATTGCTTTTCATTGACTGGTCTGGTACAGCACATGTATACATTTCCAGTAGTCGCCCGCAACTTCTGATCAGTCTTGTGTTAAGAACTATCCTGTGATTTATGCATGGTTGTCTTATGACATCCCACACATTTCGAAGTTCCTGGCATGGTTTTGTGGTTCAGCTGGTGGAGCGCTTGTCGCGTAGAGGCATGGGGTTTCTGTCGTTGTTTCGAATCCAGCCGAAGCCCTGACTTTTCATAATTGGGTCTCATCTGAAATGATGACAAATTAGCACCGACGGATATTAAAACACTGGCAACTGTTTGCGTTCGCGGTTGTACGTTTTCACATACCTCCTAATCAATGTCCGGAAGGATGCAACCTACATGTCTGAATCTTTTCATAGTCACAAAACTTTCACCTACTCAATTCCTATAGTGTTCAAAGATTGTTCCTTCAGTTGGAGTGAACAGTTATCTTCTCATATGTTCAGGACAATACATAGACATACGCAACTTTTTATTTTAATTAACGTCGAACGATTACCCTGCATCATACACAAGACGACTTTCTCAACTGGGTGAATACTTTTCTCCACCATGGCAAAACAGTCCTTGTCCTTGCAACCTGCACTGAAGTGTTCAAACAAAAAAATTTCACTATACTCATTAGATCCGATTTTAATTTAGTCATCAAAATACATGGTTATGGTGATCTTAGGAAATACCTCCCTTTTCAAATAAATCTAGAAAAGCATGTTATATCATTTGATCAGCCACTCACAGATTATTCGGGTGGCATTGGTTTTTCATTGTACATTGACCATACGAATGAGTTCCGGAAACATAAAACATGCTTTCCCAGTTATGAATTTGAATAAGGAAACCAGAAGACTGGTTTTGCAAGATGGTAGTACCATTTTTCACTGGTGGTACACTAGATTCAGAGTTAAAACCTATTCTTGAGACCCCCATCTTCAGCGGTTGTCCACTGGGTTTTATTGATAAGAAATGTCCGTTCCGAAGTAACCGGTGTTCATGCAGCTACCGTACAAAGGAGATATTATTATGTCGTTTCTAACACGACTACTGACACAGGCCACCCAACGGACATACAATGCAGCTACACAACGTTTACCCAGTCGCACGAGGTCACTCACAATTCTTCACATTGAGACTCGGATTCTAGAGCTGACCTCTTCACACTGCATTTATCGGTTCACCTGCAGCTGCGGTGATGTTTACATTACCAGGACCGATTGATCCCTGCCCCTTAGAATGAAGGGACACGTGCCCAAATAAATCGAGGACGTGATGTGTGGCGTGACCCGACATGACAACAACAACGAAGAACGCAAGCCGGCCTCTTCGACCGCTAGACACCTGCTGGAGACCGGTCATGTGGTCGGCCCGACAAACGCTTTCCGCGTTGGTGCGTCAGCATAAACCCGTCACCCTTAAGTCATTCGAGGCTCTGTTTGCCATACGTAGTAAGCCCGTCCTCTGTGTGCAAAAGTTGTTGACCTTGAATCTCCGTCTGCAATGGTTTTGACCGATGACAGACTAGTGTATTCAATGACTTGATGTATGAACCTAATTCGCCTGAATATTTTTGATATCCGCCGCTGTTGTGTGTAACAGCTGACAGGAACATACGAAATGGTACTACCATCTCGCAAAACCGGTCTTCTAATGAGTTCATTTCCTATATTCTGAATTTGTTTTCAGCATAGGCCGAATGGACTTCAACACCGTCAGCATAAATTGAGAACTCGATCAAGAAATCTAGACAGCTCAAACTATGACAGTTCACGTTTCTGAATATCGATTTTTGTGCCTAATCACCGTCAAATTTATCTACAGTATGGTATGGATGGGAACGAGGTATCAACTCGAAATTGTTTATTTGGCGAGCCGTTTTGATTTCTTCAACCGATTTCATCCTCAGGCTCCTCACATATTTTTTTTCCTCGTCAACTCTTACCACAATCCGACTTTCATTAACAGCCAGAATTGCACAAACCAGGATTTATGGGTATCTGTCAAGACGTCCGATGGAATCGTCGTTACATATATCAAGTGCATTATGCACCAACATACCTGAACAGAACACCTGCACATTGAACATGCGCGAACAATCATAAATACGATCGTTCGGTCGATCAGTTCAACTAAGCAAGCTTCACAAACTCATGTGTTCATCTGTACCGAGAAAAGTGTGACGCCGTTGCTTACGTCAATTTGTCCAGAATACCGGTTAAAGATCCACCCCAGCCATAACACATTGCTTGTAATTATATCATCGAACACATGTGGATTCACTTGTTTAAGGCATTGGGTGCACCACATTTTCAGGACCTAGTCAGTGAAAGATGTTTGATTCAATCGTGAGCGCACGACACAGACAACACACACTAACGACTTCACAGGTCGTCAACTCAATCGGTCGAAATATATCCACAGGACTAGATAAGCAATGTTTCTTGGTTATAATAACAGTTGAATGAATCAGCCCGCTGAAGTCAGTCGGTTTATGTTCAGAGGTAGGCGAGGTCGTAGACGATCGTTACGCGAGTCCACGTCTTGTGGATGACCGAACTACTGAATGTCAGATATCAGACTGAACACAAGAAATTCGTTGTACGATAGCTACTAAAATTGCCTACCCGAATCCAACAATGGCGTGTGAATCGATAAAGACAAAATGGTTTCCATTTCGCACAGTGCCACCCAGTGTAAACTGTGAGTGACAACTAGACGAATAGGACCACGCTTGCTTCAGAAAGTTCAAGTAATAAACTAACATATTGTTTGACGTATAAAACACAATGGAGAGTGGGATTGGGCCAACCCGAAATGTTTGACAGACATTCTGGAAGCTACGTAGTTTTACATCACAAAACATTTAACGCCTCAAGCCATATGTGAGAGAGGCCATTCTCTGAAAACGGATTGTGAAAGCGGCAGGTTACCGTGTAGACGGAGTTGTTTCAAAGTTGGTGTTAGTACACAATGGAACATAACGCCAAGCTCTGCAGTAAAGGCCAAATCGGTGGAGAGCTTGAGAACAATAGAAGCTACCTGTACCAAAAACTCCCAAGCCAGTATTCTAACCTAATCCTACTGGTATTTTATTATGAATATCGTGGGGAACATTGCACCAGTAAGATTTCTCGTTAAGATGATAGCCTGTCAGTAAGTGCACACCGACATTCTGTACGACAAGTATTTTGGTCAACAGCCAAACAGGAGCCTATATAAAAATATTTGCGCCAATCCCTTCTGCAGCAACGTGTGAACCTGGGAACAAAGTTTCGGCTATTTCTCACCCACGTTCGATCGTTTACTTATGTTTAAGAAGAGATCCATATGCGGATAATCTTAACTTTGGCTGGATTCGAACCAGCGACCGAAAAACATGCCCACTTGCGGCAAATGCTCAGTCAGCTGAGCTATGAAGCCCTGCCAGAAGCTCAGAAATTTCACATTTGGACCTGGTTACCCACTCAACGAACTGTCTTATGGAATCCACCAAATTTCCGGTCTTCCGGCGTGGCTTCGTAGCTCAGCTGGTAGATCGCTTGTCGCGTTGAGACACGTTGTTTCTGTCGCTGGTTCGAATCCAGCCGGAGTCCAGGTTTTTCACAAATGGATCTCCTCTAAATTATCAAATCTGCCAAACTACTAATCAGTTTTCGTACGTGTTTACTATGGGCCGGGTATGCTTAAAACGGTACATCATTTTTCATCTTCTCGTCAACCGTGTGCAAATTGCGATGTACCTGGCTACATTGTTTAGTTGACCAGCTGTCAATGTGAATAATCACAGTACTAAGCTCTGACTAACCTTGAGGGTGACTTGGGAAATGAAGTTTGCACAAATAGCCCTGAGTCGTTTCTAGTCTCTCATCTCACTCTTGAAAATAAGCCG